TCTGGGTAGATCTGACCTCTAGGAATGCTAAGCAAAGTATTGGGGAAGGAGTAAGATTCTGCTTAGTCATACTAATTCAGTGTAGCTGTATACATTTCCATGTAAAATTTGATGTAATATTTACTAACTCAAATTTAAAATCGGTTCGCTGCATAGTTCAACGTACAATACTAAAATGTAAATAAGCTGGAAAAGTTTGAAGGCTAAATCTTCTTGCTGAGACTGAGGAACGCCTTCAGTGTGTACACTGCATCATTCCCTGCGTTATGTAAAATACCCTCGTCATACTCGATGGCCAAGTCACCCAGCAATCGTTTGAGGCTGTAAGTCTGAGGACCACCGGTCATCAAAGCCGAGGCCAGCATCTGTGTATCAAATATCTGCCTTCCTTCTAAAGAGATGCCACACCCCGCAAGGTACTGTTCATCATTATGGCCAGCGTGGGTCACCAAAAAATCTACGTCGGCGATATGCTGCTGGAACTTCTCTGCGGCCTCCACAAGAGACATGCGCTTTGAGGAACCAAATTTGAATCGCTCGCGGTTGTCAGGGACGTAGTCTTTGTTTGAATAGTGGAGATTCTCCTCGATGATGTAATGGAACGCTTCCTGCTCTTCCGGCTTGTCAATTTGTGCCATGACGTAGCCAACTTCAAGGACTGTAACTTTATTGTGTTCATAGGTTTCCACATCAAACGCCAAAACGCGTGGGCAAGGCTTGCTTTTCAGTGAGTCACGGAATATATCTGCGTGTTTCTTCGCTTCTTCTTTCCTTCTAAATATGAAAAAAAAAAACGCAGCGATAGAAGAGGTATTATGTATTTATCTACTCATTTGATGAACTAATAGGCGTCAAGCAACAACGAGTCAAGGAAAACTTACGATCGATTTCTGCCGCTTTCTTTAACTTGGAAATCATGTTGAATTTGAGCTTTACTTCAATATCAGAGTTTTTTTATTTTTCGGTTTTTCAATGAATGTAATTCCACTTATTTGATTGTTATGCGCTGCTTCTAGGCCCGTGCATGCACTCTCGTGCCGTGCTCATTGGTCACGACGGTAAGCGATCTATCTCTTCCAAACAACAATTTGCCCTTGATGTTTTTGTAGAGTATTCTTTTTTTTCCATTGATTTGAAGTCTTACCTTTAAATATTTAATATCATGTTAACAGTCATCGATTAGAAAGCACGAGCCTTTGGATAAAAAACATTTCGCGTTTAATATGGTTAAACATGTTTGTCTTTCAAATCTCATTCACGCAATCACCTCCGGGTATTTTCTGAGAAACTCACCGAACCGTGCCGGGATGTGAATTTGAAAATATATTTTGTTCATCGACCAATGTATACGATCTATCAAAATATTATAAATTGTTTATATTCTCTTGGATCTATTCAATAACCAGGCACGAATGGTTCGTTTTTTCCGGATTGAAATTTCGTCCAAGATGGTTACGAAAGTTGCGTGACTTGAACGAGGTAGCTCGTTAAATATCTTGCTCTTTCAAGGAAAAGATAGCAGAACTTCCAGAGCGGTTTTCTTCGAAAGGCACAGGCGAAATTGATTTAGAGATGTAAACAAAGGGAATATTTTTTTTTTTCGGTGAAGGTCAATAATGAAAATATCGCCAAAGAAAGATTTTACGATTTATATTATAAGAGTTTCGAGTAATCGATTAGGCGCGATTTACCGTTAAGAACGAAGGAGTTTAAGTACACGATCTTAATATTAATTATTCAACTAAAAATTAGAATTTATGCAATCAGCGATGAGTAAGTCTTTGAAATTCATGAAATTAAGTTTGGACGGCAGATATTCGAGGTAGATATTCGATTTAACAGCACATACCTCTGTCTTATTTTGTCATTCTCATTTTTCAGGGACATGGAAAACTCTCGGTGTGACTCAAAGTCAAGGAAAGACTTTCTATCTTCCATAATCTTCACGCCCGAGACATGGCTAACTTCAGGCAGACTTTTCTTCGTTCTCCGCTCCAATTCTTCTTTGATCCCTCGGTAGTCATCAGCGCGAACTACAAGATGAGTTGTCTCATCGAAGAGCTCTGCGACTACAAACTGAAATCGTTTGTGAGTGCGGTGGAATGTTTTGAAGAATCCTTTCACCACATGAACTTCATCAAAGTAATGATTCTCAAAGTGTTTGGTCCACTCGATGCGTATAGACTCATATTTATAAAATTTGCCATGATCTAGAGCTATTTTCCCTGAATTAGTGGGAGAACTCGCACTTGCTTCCGCCATGGCGCTTCTGGGGACACTACTGTCTGATTTCAGTGACGGGAAATGTAGTTCCTCCTTCTCAGTGTGCTTTGTCACCCTAGCGTCTCCCTTTAAGGAGTCAAATCATTGCACTTGACGTCATCGTCCGAGATTCTGGGAAACTGGAGCATTTAGGAAGTGGAAGAAAATTCTCAGAATTGTTTCTTTCATATCACAAAGAGTTTCTCGGAAAGATACTTCCGACAAGGTTCGTCACTACCTTGACAACGAGACAAACTCGTTTCCAGGGTGTCTCCTCTCCTGCCGTCTTCAGCCTGGGAGAGAGGTTGATGGGGTGAACTAGCCTGTTCGATCCAAGCCGATCTAACTTGCAAGATTTTTCATTGAAAGGATGTTCTTGGTTGACTTAGTAGAGTTTTAACTAAAAAATACATACTAACCGCTTTGAAATAAATTATTTAGAAGAAATTAGAGAGAAGTGAAGTGCTCAAGAGCTGCATATCAGCATATCTTTATTGGCCAAAGTTACAGGTTGGAGTTTACGCATAACGTTTTCACAACCTTGAGGGAAATACAATACAACTGATCAAACAAATTTACACCTTGCGCTTAATATTTAGTACGACTTTCAAAGATTCTCATCTACTCAAGTCAACAAACTCCTTTCCTCCTGTAACACGGCCAATTATACCTCTATTTTTCACTTCCTTTGTGAATATTAGGAAAAATCCATCAATCCTTCTCTCAAAAGGGAATGACTATCAGATAATAAATAACACTCTCATTATGGTTAAGACCATTCTTTTAAGATGATATGAACAACCTCTATAATAAATCAAACGGGCCAGCCCTCAAAATCATAGTACTAATAGTAAGAATGATAAATAATTTCTATGGTATTTGCATAATGTCAATGTATCATTGAATTTGTTCTAAGGTTGCAGTCAATAACCAGCAGCGCAATTGCATCAGATTGCCTTGCAATAAAACCAGAGGGGAAAAAGTGGAGGGGGGGGGGGAAAGGAGGAGGCAGCTGATGATGCTGCCTGAGTCCACCCCTATCCTCTGCTGCTCTGCGCAGCGGTTTACCGACTGAACACTTGAAAAATTATGTAACATCTTTTCCAATCAACTTTTCAACTCATAAGGAACTTCTCCAGGGTTTAAGCACCCTTTATAAACAAAGTTCAATACTATTTCCTAGACTACGCCTAAGACATTCTCGGGTTTATCAATAGTACAACATGGCTCGAGCAGAAAAGTAGTTGTTAAGTGCTTCTTTCAATTTTTCCAAAACTTCAACTCCATATCCCATAATTTCTTTCAGTATTTAAAGCTAGTTAAAAAATGTCCATACTATTTTTAGAGTGCTTGTCTCGGTACAAACCCTGTTTAAATCTAACCACCGATTATGAAAGACTCTGGAGTAAAATAACTGTTCTCGTATCAATACAATATCTTTGTCTTCAGGATGATTTTCTTAACTGTACTATATAATCAGTCAGTAACTCCAGGAATATACGATGTATACAAGACTCTGGAATATACTATATAAATGTAAAGTAAAACAATTTGAATCTCTCTTATGGTCTTCTCCGAGTTTCGATCAGTTACTCGTTGCTTGTTGTGAATCCACCTTCATGTTCCGGGCGAGGAGGCAGCATCTGAGGTTCCTTAAGAATAGTAAGGAATATAATGTCCATCAATACAATCAAAAAGATGTTTACTAGACGTCATCACTGAATCCTACCGTAACATTTCTGGTTCCACCCGGATCTCCGTCGTCGTTTTCTCTGGCTCCGTCGGGGGATGGCCTCGGAACAGCTGGCGTAAATAACTTTGACTGGGCGTCCTGCGGTGCACGAATGAGAACATGTTAATATACGCACAAAGCAAACATGCTACAATAACACCATTTCATCCATCGCAAGCTTTGTAATGTTGACTCAAATCAAGGGTTGAACTTAATCAGCTACGACATGGAATGAAAGTGGTTTTAATTCAGATACTTCCAAAAACGTCACATGCTCAAAAAATCTTTCGAGGAATGGATTGTTTAGGCACCATGAAAGATGCCCAGCATTGTGATGGAAGTACCGAAATATTTCCAAAAAATGATTAAAACCAAATCATGAGAAATACAAAGGAGCAGCGAAGGTAAATTACCTCTCCTTGTCTTTCCTGTTTCAGTGAAGCTTTCTGTGCTTCAGTCTCCCGCACGGTTGGGGGAGAAGGTGAAGGCACTGGAGCGGGTGGTGAGCCGGAGCTGTGTCGTTTCACAATATGTCTCATACGAGTTCTTGGTGAAGTGCTCCGTGACTGGTTCCCCAGCTGTGTTTCTCGTGGACCGCCTTGTTGTTCTTTTGGAGGTTTTTCTGCAGGCTGTAAAGCACAAAGACACTTCATACTTTTGCTGAAAATGTTTGACGTTTGTTTTAACTCAAAACCAAGCTAGCAGCCATGCAAGACTGACCGCTTCCTTCCGTCTCTTCGCCGCTCAACGCTTCAAAGCATGCGTAAAACTTCCAGCCATCCAAGCTAAATTGTGTCACGGTCGTTGGTCGGGGAGCCATTGTCAAAAAATTTTAATATGATGATCCGAATTATCTGCGCTCCGTAATCATCGGAGAAAATAGTTGGTGACATTTTACCATTAATGTAATCATCGACAAGAAAAAATTGGCGCTTTTTTAACCATCCGATAGTACGACGTGCTAATCCTTGAAGAAAATTGATTTAAGACAACAATGAGTAACACTTGACTTTATCATCGTGGTTTTCGTAGACTGATTCCAACACAATCGACATCAACTTATTTTATCACTCAGAAGTTTTTCAGATTTTTTTTTCAGTCTTACCGCTTTCTTTCGTTTTACAGATACGTGAATTATCGTTAATGTAAGTTGTTTAGTTTTTTGAGTGGCAAAATGGAAAATGCGTGACTGCAAAATGTGTGAGCTAGACAACATTCTCATACTTAAAATACGTTGAGGAGATTAAAACGAGAAATTAAAAAATTGATTCAAAACTAGATTCGATCTCTACCACACAGCCATTGTGAAGTTCTAAAAGACATCCTAAGTCAGATGTTCAATTTGCTGCTCTGTGCTTGCCTTACCTCTCCCATTACTATATTACGCGGAGAGTTGGGGCCCGAGTTGGAGTGTGATGACGTCACTTGTGAATCCTCCTTATTAAGGGACGTCACTTCGTGTTCATGCAGGGGGGAGGTGGAGTTCTTGCCAATGGGTGGGATTGTCTAGGAATAAAAACATACAAAGTTAATATACATCCTGCAAGTTTTAGAGGGTCGATGTGGCTCTCCATAACATACCTGTTTAAACCGGCCTTTATAAACATGTCCATCAGATCCTTTCAGTACGTCAATGACAGATTTTTCTCTCCCCCAGATAGGGATATCTGGATTATCGTCATGCCCTAAAAGTTTGAAAAACATAAGGGTTTGCAATCTAATGATCACGTCACACTCCACAGAAGTATAAAGTTCTGAGTAAAGTATGGGATATTGTGAGAGAGCTAAATAAAGAAACAAACTTGAACGGTTTGGATAGGGTTCTAAATGTCAATCCTTGTAAGAAAAGATCGCGAACCTGTCTTGACCGCTAAAATGACAGCAGAATTTTCGGGAGCACCTCAGCGATCACCAGGTGTAGAGAAAACTCTGTATTTCTTGAGGATAAATATTTCAGATCACACGTATTCCTTTTTGGTTATAACACATGCTAATAGTGTCTCTTTCATGTATCATATCATAAGACAAAGCGGAAACCCTAGCTCGTTCCCTCTGACCCCGAATATTTCAAACTCTCCAAACGAAAGGCACGTCCAAGGGGAGTGAACTTATGTCTGTTAACGATATTTGTTGTCCCACTTTCCCAACGATACTTCAGATTCCGCTAGTGCCATCCACTCATCACAGTAAACGAACCTCCTAACACTTGATTCAGCTGGGTAGGTCTCGTCCGTCTCTTTGGTAAATACATCACCGTATGGCTCCCGCCGCATGGTCGACCGGAAATGATGTCGTTCAACGTTCTCTCAGCCTTACCACCGCTGTAGTGACCACGTTGATACTGACGAATCTACACACAGCGAAGGAAAGTTTTACATTCAATGAAAGAAAAAAATTGATCAAGAATTTTGGATCAATGTCAGTATCTTAGCAACTGCGCACTTACCCCTCCCCTAACCCAACGTTATCAGTTTACTGTTGTCCAGTTAGGGGAGGGGTAGGTGCGTGGTTAATTCGATACTTACATTTTTTTGATATGGACAATGTTACATGTATCTTGTGTCAAATTTAACAAAACCATACTTGTCACTATATCTATAAATGTATGTGCCGGGAATTTAATTGTTTTTGTTTTTCTCCTCTGGCTGAGGAAAGAAAATAACCCATGCATGGAAATCTTTATCGTTGAACTTTTATTAGTCTAAAATCTTGGCACCAGACGGGTAACTGCATATGATACCTCTTCTTGGCACCAAAACGAGTATCTGATACTTCTGCACAACTCTTTCAATCTAGACTCCTCAAACCTTAGTTGTGTTTAAAGGAACGAGCCAATGACGGGTTTCTTACGAAGTTTCCCGATCAGTCAACGACCAACCAAACAAACGAGCAAGCAGAAACAACAATCTTCACCTGGTCCATTTCATAGGACAAATATGGGCCCTTGGACCTTTTTGTCCGAACCCCTCTGGGGGCCGGCAGGTTGGCCCGGAGGGGTCCCCTAAGGGGAAGTTCCACAGGTCTACTACATGAGATACAGTTAAACTTGATTGGTCTGCGGAAGCCAGCTGCGTCCGAAAAATCCACTTTTGCTTCTGCGGCAATCATGTTCCTGGACTTCTGTACATCTGCTATACGCCGTTCTAAAGTAAAAAATTGATACATTTGTCACAATAATTTATTTCCTCGCACAAGAAATCCAAAACGCAATTTTTTCTTCTTCCGACAAAGCGTGTGATTCGGGCTTCAATGCTTTTCATAGTCACCAAACAACAAGTGCAAGTATGTGCAGGGAATTCACATTGGTGGTCATCCTGATAGGACGTTAGTCCATCAAAGGTTACCCCTCTGTATTTTGTCAAGTGTCCCTTAGAGTTCACTGGTACCATTCTTACACTTATGGCGTAGCTCCAGAAGGATAACATTTCTAATCAAATCTGCAAGCGTACGAAGTAGTCTACACCTTCAGAATTTACCCCAGTTGCTGTTGCATTCAGTGACAAGGAGGACCATTACTACCCTTGGATGGATTGCGGGTCCATTAGAGGTTACCCCTTGTTTTCTAAGAAGTTTTTGTGGCAATGTTCTCTT